AAGGCTCCACGTTGCAATTCCCACCTTGAGCCGGCGCGGCGATTGGCACGGCAGGCTACCTGTCTCAAGGATGAAGAATACAAACAGCTGCTGTAACACAGCCTTGCACAGAGGCCATGAAACTCTGTCATCCCAAGGGCAACATCTGATGTATTGCCGTGAGGATAATGATAAAAATATAAAGGCACGCATCTGGTTTCATATCATGTCATATCATATCATATCCTATCCAGCACTGCCAGCTAGGGTAGGTGTCTGCAGAGCTCCTCTATGCAACAGSACCAGATCCTTATCTGAACCAACTGGCAAAATGCTACTTTAGATGGGCAAAGTGGGTAAATTTGTAACAGTTAAAGAGCTGTTATTTCCTTAAGTAAACAAATAATCTGCTTCTAAGAAGAGAGGCAGGAACATAATCCACCACAGGGATATGCATGTGTGCATATATGATAATATGATAAGCATTAGCATCTTGTTTCTACCTGGAGCATCCACACAACTGGTGCCACACAGAGCTATACACGAGCGAAGTGCAGAAGTAGGAATTGGGTGTCACGCCTCAGCATAGTGTGATACGCCCTCCTTCCCAACCCACCTCATGGATCCCTACTTCAGCAGAACTCCCTGCTTCAGCCAGGAGCTCTGCACCTGGCAGAGTCAGAAATTCTCTAAAGGCCTCGTACCTGAACCCTTGTGTGGCTCGGCATGTGCTGAGAAAACGCTCTCTCCTTCCCTGCGTGCTCTTTAGTTTCAGACGTAGCATCAGCGACTCGGTGCTGGTGCTGGTGCTGGTGCTGGTGCTCGTGGTGGCCCTCCCGTTTCCTCGCTTCCGAGTCGAAGAAGACATGGGTTAGCCTCTCCAGATAGTGCTCCAGTTCCTCCTGGGTGTGCTCCAGCTGCTTGCCAACAGCACTGGGGAAAAAGGAAGAGGGCGGCGGGGGGCTTTTGCTTTCCCTGTCCTTCTTGGCCTCTTCCAAATGTGGGTTATGCCTCATGAGAAGCAGCACCATAATAAGCAGGATCAGGCAGAGATACACAACCCAGACTTCTTCCATGGTGGTGGTGAGATACCAAGGGGCTGGTGCCGGCTGCTCTACTTAGAGGTTAAATAAGGAAGTCAAATATGCCGAATACGGGARACGTTCAGTGCTTCCAATGCTTCACCATCCACAGGAGAGGACTGTGGCGATACTGAAAGCACTGGGTCAAAGTTCAGTTTTTRTGCTAGCAGCACGACTTACAAAGCTTCCTTCGGGTCTCAACGTGCAAGCAGTGAASAGCAAGAAGTTTTAAGCCAAGAAAATAAAACTACTTCCTCCTCAGAGTGAAAAAGCTTCAGCAGAAAGATACAAGTTCGACTGTTCCAGCTCCTTCAAATGTTATTCAAAGGCCACTATTCCTCTTTTTTTCATGACCAGTTGTAACCACTTGGTATCTTCCGAGACAGGGAGTCCTGGAAAGCCCTGGTGTTAGGCACGTAGCAGCTTCACTTGAAGGGGCTGCAGGTCCGACACTTATTGCTCTTCAAACAGCAACTCCTCGAACGTTTGAGTCGTCGTGCTTCAAATGGGAAGCTCTTCTTCTCCTTTCTAATTCAGAAAAAGGATAATTTAGAACTGCGGTTTTCCTCCCTTAGGACAGATCAAATGTTTTATCCTGTAGGGGTCATTAGATGCCAAGGCTACCGTCCACCCCTAGCAAAAAATTCAAGTGGCAGGAGGGAATCGGGTGCCTGGAGCTGCAGATGGGGACCCGCTCTGCTGGTCCTTCCTCTCTCTGCTGTCCGTGGAGCGGGGAGGGAGCCCGGGCAGAAGCCGCCCCTGGGACTCCGGAGATGGTTTGGGCTGCACCTTGCAGGGGCCCTGCGGGCTCCTGGCACTCTGCTCCCACTCCGGCTACTTCAAGCAGCCGTTGGGCAGCCCACGCGCCAATAAATCCATTTCCAGCGACCAACCCCAAAGGAAGGGATTGGGAGAACTTACCAATTAGCTCCCGGCATTAAGGTGAACAGCCAAAATCGAAGGAGGGGCGAGAAGTCACCGGGATGGGGCCAATCCGCAGGGCGGGGTGGCCACGGGCACCACTCGCAGCCCTTCAGGCCCGTATCTCTCTGCAAGGGGATTGCCTTTCCTAACCTTTGCTTTAGGATCTTTTTACAGACGACGGTGCCAAGCCTAAAAGGAGCAGCGAGCACACCCGAGTTTCTGCTGCCTCTGCATGAAAACCTTCTTGGGCTCAACACACCCCCGAAACCAACTCTGGAATTCTTCACTTTGTTTGCAGCAGTGACCCTTCTCCTCTGCTTTGCTAGATCTCCTTACTCACTTTAGAGATCAATCCTCAAGTTTTCTGTTTCGGGACCAACGCTATGGAACAGGTTGTGCTCCAGCAGCAGTGCTGTCCTCTCCCCTCCATTCTCACCTTGCTTTAACTACTTCCCGAGGTCACATCCACACTGGAAAATGTGTGCAGTTTGCTGGAACCTGCTGCACTGCCTTTGGTGGAGAGTCACCCAAGAAAGAGGGTAAAAATCACAGTTCCCCCTTTCACACTGATCCAAAGGGGTGGCACAAAGCAGGGGAGGAGGAGACAGGCAGGACAGACATGCRCTTGCTTGTTCTGGGGTCTTAACGTGGCAGGAAACAACTCCAAGCAGACGGTTTCTCCCTCCTTGCCTGCACCACTAGTGCTCAGGGCCTGCAGCATTCCTCATGTGCACAGGTTACAGTCACTAGCATAGCAAAGCCCTGATCAGATTTTGGTATCGTTGCTTCTGCGAGGCACAATTATTTAGGAATTAACTGATACATCTGTCAGAAGCGCAGGCATCGTCACCTCGGCTATCTGAACTGGCAGCTGACACGGAAAGACAAAATATTTTCTCCAACATTTCACCCGGCTTACAAGTGCAAGTGTCCCGGCTTACCTTGGGTCAGATCGAATGGTTTTGAGGAACATCTGCCTTRTGAGTCTCCAATGCTGCGGTCCCATTAAAGGGATCAAGGAGAGGGGTGGCTCGGCAAGTCACACCGTTTGTGCAACCTGCTGCCCACCATGCCAGCCTCTCCTGTGGTAGGAAGACATTTTTCCCTGCTGCTCCGGAGGTCGGAGCACAAAGCTGGCAGGATTAGGCTGCACCAAAGATCCTCAGTAGGATCTTTATTCTACTTGTGAATGCCTGAAGAACAAGGCAGTCACACACAAAYGCTTCCCGGGATACTCCTGCGCTCTCAAAGGACAAGATTTTATGAAGATTTATCAACTCTTAACTTCACCTGAAACAACATGGGGGGAAAAAAATCACTATTTCTCCAATATAAGCTGCATGAACAGCTGGGTAAGAAAGGAGATGTAATTCCATATACAGCATGTAACTAAATCTTGGCAAGCAACATAAAAATACCAAAATTTGAAAATGTCTTTTCACATTTAATACAAAATTCTGCAAATTCTAACCGTGTCTGCAAAATGCTGTCCTGTGTTGTTCCATCAGTCAACATGACAGCAGTGCCCATCAAGAAGGGAAGGAAGTGACTGAGCTATTCACTTCCAGTTTATTTAGGTCTTCTGTATATTTTTGCTTTATTGGATCTGCTATACAATTCCCCCTTGTGCCTTTGAACAGCCATTATTTAAAATATTTCAAACACATCCTCCAGATGCAATTTACTTTATCTGAGTTTAGCAATATTTTTTTTTTTTATGAAAAAGACTTCAACAAACTGTTTTTCCCAATGTCTCCCAGTCCACCCTGGAATTTGCCCACACTTCCATTTCTTGCTTCTCATACAGCATGACTGGCTGGGCTATAAAATACATGTGACACTGTATTTCTTTCTAAAGTTCTTTTGTTTCTTCACCTTTTTAGGACTGAATGGGGAAGATTTTCTGCATTTTCTGCACGGGTGACAGGTTCAGTGGCTGAAGCAGTTGGAGCCACCAGAGCCGTACAAGAAAGCAGAAAATACAGATCAAATGCAACAGAGTTCTTGGGCTGTCACAGTTCGTTTCACTGTCACCCAAGATTTGGGACAGTCAATTTATCTTCTGAGTCACTGCTGGTTGCCACTGGGTTACTAARGTAAGCTGCTTTTTTTAGGGACCGACCCTACATCCTCCCCAGCTGGTGAGGACTTGACTTCAGAAAACTAAAATTTTTCCTCTTTGGAAAGACTTGCCTGACATCCCTGAGCTGAAGTAAATCAACATCTGCAGTTCTCCGTGTCTGCAGACAAATGAATGAGCAAAGATGACTTTCCTGATTTTCCTCTCAGTTCCTGAACTCTTGAAATGTTGCATTTAATTAAAGACGGTACCTAACGTCTTCTAGATACCAGAGTCACTGCTGCTCTTTTGAAAAGCAAAAGATTCTTGTGTGCCCTGGTGGCYGAGAAGGCCAATGGGATCCTGAGGTGCCTTAAGAAGAGCATCTCCAGCATGTTGAGGGAGGGGATCGTCCCCCTCTATGCACCYYTTGTGAGSCCACAYCTGGAGACTGTGTCCAGTTCTGGGCTCCCCRGSACAAGAGGGATGTGGAGCTGCTGGAGAGAGTCCAGCGCAGGGCTACSAGGATGATCAGGGGCCTGGAACATCTGCCMTRTRAGCAAAGGCTGRGRGAGCTGGGCCTGTTCAGCCTGGAGAAGAGATGGCCAGGGGGATATCTGCTCAGTGTATATAAATACCTCAAGGGAGGCAGTGAGGAGGCCGGTGTCCCTTCAGTGGGGGCCACTGACAGAATTAGAGGAAATGGCCACAAACTGAAGCACCAAAAGTTCCACAGGAACTTAAGGAAACATTTCTTGACAGCGAGGGTGCCAGAGCCCTGGCACAGGCTGCCCAGAGAGGTTGTGGAGTCTCCTTCTCTGGAGATCTTCGAAACCCACTTGGATGCAGCCTGTGCCACGTGCTCTAGGTGACCCTGCGTGTGCAGGGGGTTGGACTAGATGACCTCTGAGGTCCCTTCCAACCTTAAGGATTGAATCATAGAATAGCAGGTGAACTGCTACAGCATGAAGAAGAAGGTCTACTGGGTACACGGAGAACTGGAGTTGTATGTAGAATACATCTCCTCAAAAGGCACTCTGGTAGGCAATCCTTTTTTTTGGGAAACATACACAGATTCCTAAGTAACATTTTCCCTGCATTATTCTGCCCATCTTGGGTTTGCAGGCAATTTGGCATAGCTTTTAGCTGCAGTTTTATTCTAGAACCTTCCTAGAAAAAATTGAAGTAAAAATTTTCTTGGGAAGTCGTGAATCTGAATGAGCCTGTGTTAGAAGTCCTGGGTGATGCCGAAGGGGATTCTGCTGAATCCTGGCTTTTCCTGCAAGCTCCAGTGCGCTTCCGCATGACCCGGCAGCTCTTCCTGCGGATGTTTTCCTTCACTTCCACAACCCTGGCAGATTTCATAGCTTGCAGAAGGGAGAAGAAAACAAGAAGAGGGGTTTAGACAAGTTACATCCCACTCTACTGAGCTACGTGGAGGCTGAGCGCAAAGGAGGCTCTGCAACCAGAGGGAGCCAACACTCCCTGCATGCGGAGTCCCAAACCTGCTTGCACGAGCTTCAGCTGTTGGCACCAGTCCTCCTCCATCCTCTTCCTGTAGTCTCCGAACAAGGTTCTCATGACCTGGCGCTTCTTCACCAGCGGGGCCTTGTCACTGCGCAGCGTCTTGATCGCGCGCAGAGCCTCCTCCGCTGCAGCAACAGCAAGGACCAAGCCGCAGATTAAGACAACGCCGGGGCGCTTTCCCTGCGCCACCGGCCTGCCTGGCCGCCCAGCCTGCTCCCTCAGAGCTCACCTTGTTTAGGACTGGGCTTTTGTGTCTTCAGGCCAAGCTCCAGCTGTTCCACGCACCAGTCCACTTCTTTCCGCAGCTGGTCCTCTGATTGCTACACAGAGTAAAACACAAGGAAATAAGTCATCCAAATTATTTCCCAAAGGAAATCCATGCAAAATCAGGACTCGTTCAGAATTTCAGGTTCTGGTGGTCACTTTATCAACTTCATGGGACCTGGTCTACAGTATTTTTCATGGGATACATGTTRAACGATGAACAAACGTTCTGTTGTGACTTGCTGTCTCTCTTTGATGGGTGTAATATCTGGCTGCCATTCAGAAGATAGCAGTTCGCTGGAAAACGCTCCAGGATTTCAGGATATTAAAGAAACTGTCAAATCAACTTACAACGGGAGAAATAAGCATTAATAATRATAATAAACTAAGCTGCCCACAGAGGAAGCAATGGACAAGACCAGAAGCAGAATCTTGGTGTATCAGATACCATTTGGAGGTAGCTCTGCATCTTAACTTTGCTATTTGTCTAACATGAATAAATTCTCCTCCCTGATGGCAAATGATGGGGGCAGTGCCCAACTGAGCACCCACAGCCTGGCCTTCACGGCAGTTACCTGCCTTTAATTCTTTTTTTCTAAGGTAAGTGTGGTCCCTGGCCTCCCAGAGGTTGGTTATCTGCCGCAGGTCTCAATCCCAAAACCACGTAATGTTTCAGCACAGGTCTCCGGCAGACAACAAATAAAAGCACTAACTTCCTTTCCCTCATTCCCTCAACTGATGAGCAGAAGAAAACAGCTGCTGTAAGAAACAATCCTTGTTTTTCAGCTGGCAGTTCATGTCAGGCAATAACTGATAAGCTGTGCACAGACATCGAATTTCTCATCTATTGAATGGTTTATAATTTACCGGATTCTATCTGTATTCAGATACCTGAGAGGTCTCATCCTGGTGCGATGCATCTTTATTCAGACACTCACTGGCTTCTGCCTTTGCCTTCCTGCTTATCTCAGATTCTTCTTGCTCCTCTTTACTGCTAGATGCTTTTTGTTTCTTCTTCTTCTTCTTCTTCTGGGCCGCTCTATCTGYTGCTGCTTTCTCTGCCACTGCCTCCTCTCCAGGAGTGCTCTCTGCTACGGGGTTTTTGGACATGAAATGGCCTCTGTCTTCTCCAGTTGCACTGTCTGTCGTCTGAGTCCGCTCAGRCTTTTGTGAGGCCGAACTCTCCAGCCCGCCAGGCGATTCTGGGAGCCAGGAATTACCCAGCCCTTCACAGTCTGCTGCACTCTCTGTGGGTTCCCTAGTTCTCTGGTTCACTAGACCTAGTGGGGCTGGAGAATGATCTTCACTTGGGATGTTAAAGTTGAAAGTGAACTTGGGTTCTTGTCCAGAGGCAACAGAACTCAAGGCTTCACTCAAATTCTCTTGCTCTGGGGCTCCTACATTAGTTTGTTTCTGCTCAGCACCAGCAGCACCAGGAGCTGCTCCCAAAGTGGTGCCRGTTGCTGCCGGGTCCATCTCGGCAGCTGTGAAGTGGAATCGGAAGCTGTTGTCACACAGGAACCACTCTGTCTTTTCTTCGGACACTTGGCCAGACTCTTTCCTGTTCACAGCACCTGAAGGCTGCCTGGCTGCACTTCTGTTTCACCGGCTTCCAGACCTAGGAAAGGCAGGGAATGTCACTATCAGTACACGGATAGTCCTCCTGTGGGGATGTCCCTGCTACTGCAGCCCCCCTTTGTAAGGCAGAGCTGTGGGGAGCCAAAAGCCTCGGGATAAAAACATCTCAGGAAAGGAAACAAATATCAGATCCCGTGGAGGGACAGTTCAACATCACCTGCTTCCTCCGCGCTCTTCAGCTCCTCAGCCATTTTGAGCTGCTAATCCCCATTCGTCACTTCTTCACCAGAGGTGTCTCCTGGGAGTGCAGAACCATGATAAACTGCTGCGTTTTTCCTGCTGCATTCAAGAAAAAGATCAAAAGAGAGAAGAAACAGGTCGTGATGGGCCTCACAGACTATACTGCAGGATGCTGATGGCCCATGAGGACCGTGGATGCTGATGGTCCCGTGTGGCAGCGGGCGCCCTCGCTGCTTCCTAACCCAATGGACCCAGTACAGCAGAGCACTGTAAAGAAAAAAACAGCCCTAATGACCAATTCCAACACAGGAATTACTGCTCCGTGCTTCGGCAGGCACGTTACGGAGGGGCCTGCGCCTGGGTGCCAGGCACCGCTAGCAGGAGCAGGATCCGGCCTTCGCCACGAACAAGCTGGACTGGGCAGGTCAAACCGCCTGCCCAAAAGTGCTTTAAAAGACATTCCCCTCCCAGTGGTTTCCTCCTTGCGAAGGGCACAAGAATGAACATCTCCAGGGGAGCCCCACGCGTGTCTATGGGCCGGGCAATGCAGAGGATCCCCTTAAGAGCGGAAAACGAACCGCAGCCGAACCAAACAAC